CTAGAAAGTGGGCCAATTTAGTCCCAAGGAGTATTGAAATAGTACACTTACAAGTATACTACTAGTACACTGATATTTGTATACTTACTACATAAAGTATACTTAAACATATACTTGAACTTTACTTAAGTATACTTACTAAAATAAACTTGAAGTATACTACTTTTTGGTAAGGGTTACCATGTTGATATTCAAAAATTTGCGGCTAAATCTAGCATTGCTTGTGTTTGTTGTCTTGGTAACTACAACATTATTTCCTATCCACCTTTTTCTTCAACGCGGAAGTAAGCCTATGGGTGAGACTTCCGGTTCATTAGCCGCTATAGGGAAATAACGAGGAGAATAACAGTGCAGTAAACGGTAAAACTGTTTGCACTACAAACCTGTGTGTTCATAATTAAGATAATACATTAAAATAGTATGATAAGACACACCAGTTTTCGATATCAAGCAGCAAAATTAACTGTTTTGTACAGCTAAATATAGCTGGATGCGGATGAGACCGGAAGCTAGACCCATAGAATTTACAAATGGCTGCGCCCATTTTTACGGCAAGAAAAAGGTGGATAATATAGAAAATGACGATATAACTGCCCGTTTTTCGTTTATACATATATGACACGAGGCTAACGGAGTGTTAACAATAAACGGGCAGATTTGTTTTCAAACTGTGTAACAAAAACTACAAACTCGACCAATGATCTCACTGACGCTAGGTGGCAGTGTGTCGGTAATGGCGATGTAATTGCAGCAGACAAAAAACAACGATGAAACGTTTGCTTTCTCTGCCGTGGCGTTCACTGTACGCGGGAATTTTGAGATCGCAGTGTTTACTCTGCAGAGATGCAGGAAGAGTTGTTTACGCGCGAAATCTGATATTTATAGTCATGTGAAAGCATATGTGAAAATGCTGCAGGAGAATATCTGCTTCTGGACGAATTATACATTTGAGCCGTAATAGCAGTGGCTATCTTTATATGCAGCTGTCACAGTGATGTGAGAAGTTTTTAAGTTTTGATACCCGTAGAGCTGCTTTGTGATATTGGATTCTCCGAAGAAAAATCGTTTTAGTCATTTTATTCACTTACGGTCCACGATGATTAAGTGTAAATCCAGCAAATCTTCCGTAAGTATTTCAGATTCATTTCTGATACTTTGTTATTCATCCTCAGCTATCTAGATGTAAATGGTATCAGCTGTGAAACTCTAACGTTACTTTTTTTTTTTTTTCTGCTGTTGTAGATGGTCAATGGAGTTCAGTCAAGCATTTCTGCCTTTTTTGTCTCAAAGGTAAGGAGTAAGGACATAAGACAACAATTTATTGAACTCTTATAGTTGCTCTTAAAGGGATAGTTCACCCAAAAATGACAATTCTGTCATCATTTACTCACCCTTATATTGTCCCAAACCTTTATGACTGTATGACCTGTAATATGCATTTTGTTTACCAAATAACGTAATGACAGTAAATGGGGTCTGAGTTGAGGATGTCATTTAAAATTTAATTTGAATTTATTAAAAAAAAAAAGTTTTGTTAAATTAATTTAATGTTTGCGATGCCCTTTAATTGTAATTTAATTAATTTTTTATGCAGTTACTCTGCATCAATTTATGTTATTTGATAAATATCTTCAGAACCTTCTTAATTGTTTTGTATTTTTGAAATTCAATTAAAAAAGTTATCTGTACCTTGCACGTTCAAGTTAAAAATGGCCACCTGCTCTTATGTTAAAAATACGGTTGACGTCACACCTCACACCATAACATCACCTTTATGTTTTATCAGGTTTCACCAAAGTCACCTAAAAAAATTGCAGCTGGAATTACAAGAGTCCCCGTTTCATTGAAGACTGGTTTTGTGCAGGATAAAAGTGTCCCCTGCTCTCCAACCCCTTCTGCTGTCCCAGAGACACCTGACAATCTGAGGAGCGAGAACCCTTCAGACACTTCATATGACAACCGCTCACCTGTCTCCCGTGGCCTACTTACTAAAGGTGTCAGGGGTAAACCTAGCCTGATGGCACGTAAGCTGATGCAGCCACAGAAAAACAGCAGTCTAGAGCCAGAAGACACTTTTGAGCTTAAGAATGGCGCAAGGCACTCTGGCTCTGTGAAGAGGTTGTTGCACAGCTCAGAGAACATCCAGAGTGCAAAGCGGTGCAGGACCATGCAAGTTCAGAAACTTCCCGATTGTGACACAAGCTCACCAAGGGCCGATCAAAAGGAGTCTTCAGGAACATTACAGAGAGCATTCTCAAAGAGTCCTGAGAAAAAAAACAAAGCTGAGTCTGTCGGTTTTGAGAGTAGCCGATTGGCAACTGGGCCTTGCGTGAAAATGAATGGAAAAACAAATGGTTTCTCAAAGGTCTCAAAAAAATCCTTTCATCATCTGAGCTTTAGTACCAGTGAGAAAGAGAATTCACTTGCTCTAAACATGAAGCCAGAGATAGACATGAGTACGGTTTCTGGAACAAATGACTTTGATCTTGTGATGTCATATAGTTTGTGGATACAAAATGGATCTACTGAAGAAAAAGAGACTTTTCTCAACTGTCCATTTACTAAGAAGAGACCCTTGAGTACTGCTGATCTGCAAGTGAAAGACAAAATTGCTGATGGAAAGACTTTGCCAGCCCCATTTGAAGATGATTTTACTGATCTGATAGACGATTGGTTTGATGATGGCATGGAGCAAAAATCTGAGGTGCCAAAACCCAAGAAGTTCAGTCATGAGTATGAATGTTTTATTCAACCTATCTATGCGCGCATAAGTGAGCTTTAGTAATATTTGATAGTTTGGTGATTTTCGTGTATTAAAACTACTAGTATTATTTTAGGATAATTTACATACTATTGTAGTTTTTATTAATATTTTAAATGAGCTTTTTTTATATATATATTTCTATATAAATATATTGCATTTGTGCTTTATTTTTTAACAGATTAAGTTAATAATAACCGACTGATTTTAACTGATTTCTTTGAATTTTAGAAAAAACAAAGGCATACCAGAGCATGTTATACTGGCCTCTGGTGTTCATAACCGATACTGGGTACTGGATGTACAGGACGTCACCTCATCACAAAGTTGCACAGAGAAGCACTTAACCATCACCTGCTCCAAGACGACACAGTCCAGAGAGGCCTGTATTCTCAAAGATGGCTGGTACAAAATGTTACTTGCCCTACAAAAAAAAGAATTTTGAGAGAGTTCTTTCTTTCTGATTGTCTTGCTGATTGTTTTTTGAACTTTCCAACCTCTTTTCTAAAGGGAGAGTACTCCTGTTGCTGTGGGGGACGTCGTTCACTTGGAAGGGAGGTGTGTTTCTGGCTTGTGGACGATTGATAGAGACTCTGGTTTCCTGGTTCTGCTGCCTGACCTGCTGATATCGGGGACCAGCATTGCCAGCAGTATTCGCTGCATGAGGCGAGGGGTGCTGGGAGAGATGTTTAAGGTGTGGAAATTCAATTTTGTGAATGTGCCTTAAAGCATACACTATCGTTCAAAGCTTTGGGGTCAGTAAGATTTTTTTTCTTCCATTTATTCAATTGGTCAATAATTACAGTAAAGACATTAATAATGTTACAGAAGATTTCTTTCTAGAACTTTATATTCATCAAAGAATCCTGGGAAAAAATACTATGGTTTCCACAAAAATATTAAGCAGCACTGTTTACATCATTGATAATAATAAGAAACTTTTGTTGAGCATGGAAAATAGATATTCATTCTGAGATTTGCTAGATTATATTTAACAGTGTTAATGAGCATGTACAATTAAATATCAGTCTCCAGTAGCGATTATAAGACACACTTTGTCATATACAGAATGTACATATAGTGTATACTGCTCATATTAAAGCAGCACTATGTAACTTATTCTGTCTTCAAAATTTGCAAAATGTATATAATGAGCACGTTTTTGTCTTATTTCGAATCACTACGGTACACTTATAATAAGTACTTATATTTGGACTATTGTAGCCTGGTCGGGCCGTCACCGCTGCGGAGTAACACATACCTGCGTGAATCGCCATAGACATAAACTTAGAGAAGTAGCTCCGGTTGGAATGTTCTTCCGCGGGATGTGTGCAGTTCTGTTTATTAACCGCTAGAGCGCCAAAAATTACATAGTGCTGCTTTAATGTTTTCAACAGTGGACAATACTATGCATTGATGTCTTTCCCTTAATTGATGATTCAAACCTTTCTGTGTTCTTAATTGTTCTTGTCAAATTTTAGTGCTTAAAATAATGAAACAGTTTGTGTGTGGTTTTTAAACAGGCATTTGATGGTGGATCTAAGCAGATGTTAAATGGTACCATAGTTCATGATATCTTCCAAAAAGCAGCCATGTCCTCAGATTTCTCACCAGAGAGGATACAGACGTTTGCTGCAGAGGCCCTAAGAAGCCCCAACTACCTCGGACAAATGTAAGAGCTATCTTGTAACATCGACTCCATCTTTAGAAGCACACTATCTTTATAAACTATGTTTTTACATAGTTTTCAGTTTTTATTGTTTTCTTAGACCTCAAATACAGATACTGTGCTAATACGGTGTTTGACAACAACAGCTCTCTGTTATGTGCCTTAAAATGACTGTGTTTGTCTTGTACTTGCTTTAATTAGGTATAGTCTAAAGCTGACCCAGGCTGACATGAGACAGGAAGTAGAAGAATATCTTCCCTCTTTATCTGAGTGGGCAAAACACTATGTCCATACTTCACCACAGGCTGGACAGAAGCAGCTCACTCTCAAACTGTGAGTGATATATGTATTTAAAGAAGACTGAGAGCATGGTCTTGTGGAAAATGTTTATGGCAGGTTCAGTTTTCATATTATAAATAAATGTTATGGTTTGTGCGGTTATTTACTATCAGCCCTAGCGACGGGGCTCTGAGCAAGCAAGATGCCACCTGTAGCATGACAGTCACAGATTTTGTGGACATTGAAGAGAACATCTGGTGTCCACGTTTTGGACTGAAGGGGAAGATTGATGTCACAGCTGGAGTTAGGATTCATCGGAGAGGCAGAAGGCCCACAGAGAGGATTGTGCCACTGGAGCTGAAAACTGGCAAGGAGTCCAACTCCATTGAGCATCGCAGTCAGGTACAAAGCGCAACGTAAACTCTAGATATGTCACATGTTAAAAAATATCACTATTTATGTCACTGCTGAATATTGCTTATTATTTGACTTTTTTTTTTTTCTAGGTTATTCTGTACACGTTGATGAGCTCAGCTAGACGTTGTGATCCAGAGGCTGGTTTCCTTGTCTACTTGAAGACTGGCAGTCTACATCCTGTTGTGGGTAACCACATGGACAGGAGAGGTTGGTTTGTTTTTTTAAATGTACAGTTCAATTAAAAATAAATTTTGTCATCATTTATCTTCAAAACCCAAATTAAGGTATTTTAATGGAACTTGAGAGATTTCTGTCCTCAAACCACATTGATCATAGTTTATATGTGAATAAAAGCCTAAATTAAATCTGCTCAGCATCGGAAGACTTGGATCAAGCTGTACAGTGTCTTTCTGAACTTTTTGAAGCATGAAACTTTTGAGGTAGTTGACAACAGAGAGACCGAAATCCTTCAGTTTCATCAAAAATATCTTTACTTGTGTTTGAAAAATTAATGAATTGGGCTGGGTTGGGAGTGTCACAAGGGTGAGTAATGAATGAAAGAATTTTCATTTTTGGGTGAACTATCCCGTTGAGTCATGTAGTTTCATACAGATGTTACAAATGAGAGGCAATTTACTTGTAGTCATAACAGCGTACATTGAAATCTAAGACAGGCTTACATCCTGCTTATGACTGTACTGATTCATATTTTTTTTTCTATCACAGAGCTGGTTAAAATAAGAAACTCATTGGCCCATCACATCGGAAACAGCTTGGTCAAGGTGGATGGAAGAAGTCAGATGGCCCCATTGCCTGCCATTGAATCTGACAAGCAAGCTTGCAAGTACTGTCCTCAGAAAAGGAACTGTGCAGTTTACAACAGGTATTGTTTTTCTCTCTTCATGCATCATCTTCTATTACAGCATCAAACTGAGTACTGTAATTCCATTGAGCTTCAGCTGAAATGCATCATGTTGTGTAGAGCTGTAGAGAGAGATCCCGTGGAGAACTGTAGTGAAAATCCACAGGCCTTTGTGCAGTCGGAGAGCGAGCACCTCAGCCACGTGCACCTGCAGTACTTCAGCGACTGGCTGCTACTCTGCACGCTGGAGGCTCTCACCATGGAGAACAAAGGAGGTCGGCGCAATATCTGGCTTCAGACTGCCCAGCAGAGGTGGGTGTTTTTATAAAATAAGACTTTTACAATACTTTGTGTTAGTTCACCCATCATTTACTCCCCCTCATGTCACTCCAAACCCATTCAGAAGACTTTTGTTCAACTTCAAAGCACAAATGAAGATATTTATAATGATACCTAGAGATTTCTGTCCCTCCATTGTGAATTCAAGACAAACTTTCAAGCTTCAAAAAGTTATAAAACAAGAGATTTTTATATTAATTTTGAAGACACGTTTCTTTTATATTATATGAAAAAAGCCTAAATTAAATCTTATAACATAATTGTGTCTTTAAAGACTTCATTACCAGTAGTTTTATGACTTTGTGTTTTTATTTATTTATTTATTAATGCATTTCAGACACTAAGCAGATTAACAGTGTTTGATTGAATTAAAGGATTAGTTCACCCAAAAATGAAAATTAGCCCATTATTTACTCACCCTCAAGGCATCCTGGGTGTATATGACTTTCTTCTTTCAGACGAATCCAGTCGGAGTTATATTAAAAATTGTCTTTGATCTTCCAAGCTGTTTAATGGCAGTCAGCGGTGTTGCAGTTCATCAGTCCAAAAGAAGTGAAATAAAGAGCATCCATCCATAATAAAAAAGTGCCTCACACGGCTCCAGGTGGTGAACAAAGGCCTCCTGTAGTGAATCGAAGTGTTTTTGTAAGAAAAATAACCATATTTAAAACGTAATAATCGATTTAATCTAGCTTGCGCTCACTGTTGTAAATGAACTGCAACACCCGCTGACTGCCATTGAACAGCTTGGAAGATCAAAGTCAATTTTTAATATAACTCATCTGGAAGAAGGAAGTCATATACGCCTAGGATGACTTGAGGGTGAGTAAATAATGGGCTAATTTTCATTTTTGGGTGAACTATCCCTTTAATTGAATGCTTTTAGCCTTAATGAATGTCTCTGTTGCATCCCTGTTCTTATGTTGTTCATTCTCAGGGAGAAAAGTGGTGGCTGCGTGGGTAACATGCAGTTAGATAGAGACGTCAGCGTCCTATCTGATGGTGTATATAAGCACAGCTTTGTGAGGAAGGAGGGCAATCAGACTCTCACTGGGCTGATAGTGGGCGACAGGATTGTGGTCAGTGATCAGGACTCGGTGCTCATAGGCCTTGCCACAGGATATGTCACGGAAATAACTATCAGTGGACTGACTTGCTCTTTGGACAAGTAAGTCTCTTGCAGATGCTTTTCATAATGTTGTTCAATTTGTTATTCATTTTACCTGAATTTGAAATATTCAAGTGTACATCAAAGCTTAATTTCACATTCATATCATTTCCAGAAACCTTTCCAAGTTTTCCTCAAACACAGTTTTCCGACTGGACCAGGATGAAGGTGCTGGGGGTCTTAGCAATCATCTAGGAAACCTGTCTATGTTAATGGAAAACACTCCAACCAGGTCTGATCATCCTTTTTTTTTTTTTCTTTTTTTTGTGCTTTTGTATTTACAGTTTTTCTCAATTGCTTTGGCACATTTTTCACCAAGGACACTGTGGCCAACATTCTGAAAGGTGTGTTCAGACACTTCCTTCTCCTGATAATCTCCTCTCACTGAACCATAGTCTCACTCTTTCTGTAGTGAGTTGCTGTGAAACATGCCCTTGATGTATTCATTTGAATAATAGAACTTCTCTGTTCCTACTTAATGAGTTTTAATCATGTTGCCTCTCAGGACTCAACAAACCTCAGAAACAAGCCATGAAAAAAGTGTTGCTATCCAAAGATTACACGCTTATTGTGGGAATGCCAGGTACTGGGAAAACTACCACCATTTGTACACTGGTAAGAGCTTATTTTAGAAACCAGTTGTGTTTTAGATAATGAACAGCTATATTCATTTTCTTGCCACTGCAAATGTGGGCATTTTCATCTTAAAGGGGAGGTATTTTACACGCATAACTTTTTCATCCTTGAAGTCCACTTATACTGTTAATCAAGTTTTTTCCCATAATTCTGTTCCCATAAGTCATAATTTTGTTTGCATGACTTTTTTCACCCTCTTTCTGACCCGTAGAGTGAAACTGACTTTGTTTTGTTGTTTCTACTGGTTTCCATATACAAAGGAATATTAATCTGACATTTATTTTGCACTTCCTTATTTTACAGGTGCGCATACTCCATGCTTGTGGCTTCAGTGTACTTCTGACTAGCTACACCCACTCTGCTGTGGACAACATTCTCTTGAAACTGAATAGGTTTAAGATCGGCTTCCTGCGACTGGGTCGTGCTCAAAAAGTGCACCATGATATCCTGCCCTTCACAGAGGAGTCATGTCGGGCCAAAGGGATCCAAACACTAGAAGAGCTGGAACAACTGTACAACAAAGAAGTAAGACACATTACAATCATTAATCTTAAATATTACAATTTAAAATAACTGTTTTTTTTTTTATTATTGTAATATATTTTAAAACGTAACTTTTTAAAAAATTTTCAGTCTTCAGTGTCACATGAACCTTCAGAAATCATTCCAATATGTTGATTTGGAGCTCAAAAAACATTTATTAATATCAATGTTGAAATGTTGTGCTGCTATATTTAAAACATCAAAATAATTCTATTTGAAATATAACTTTTTGTAATGTTAGACATCTTTACTGTCACTTTTAAACAATTTCATGTATACTATGACATGTAAGGTATAATGTTCAATCACTGATTGCTCCGCATTTTGAAAATCCAAATTGTCTTGTAAAGCTCACCCCATTTTTCTTTGTAGCTGATTGTGGCCACCACCTGTATGGGTGTAAAGCACCCAATATTCAGCCGTAGACGCTTTGACTTCTGCATCGTGGATGAGGCATCTCAGATCAGTCAACCCGTATGTTTGGGTCCGTTGTTCTATGCCCAGCGCTTTGTCCTGGTGGGAGACCACCAACAGCTTCCTCCTATTGTGCAGAATGCTGAAGCCAGGTAGTACACTTCTGTCATCATTCAGATGAGTTTTGTGAAAGATTTTCACGTTGAGCCTTTGAATGCAGCTTGTGTTTTTAATATCAAAACTGAAGAAGCCAAAAACCCAGTTACACCATCACCATATTATTACCCATTATTTTACCACAGTCTTATGTGAAATTTAAGAATTGCTCTAATTTTCCCCCAGAACCTTGGGCATGGATGAGAGTTTGTTCAAACGTCTGGAGCACCACAGTGATGCAGTTGTTCAGCTGAATGTGCAGTACCGAATGAACAGGTGGAGTTACACCAGTCAGACATTCAGGCTAGACCTATGTGATTGTTAAATGGAAAATAAGTAATTAATATGTAAGTTGTTAATATTAAATATCTCTAAAATAGGCATTTAAAATTCATGTGGAATACTAATAGGTGATTTTTTTTTCCCAATACATTTTTGAGAATATTCACAACCACCAGCTCTGCAGTTCTTATACTTGCTGTTTTCCATCCTGCAGTGCGATCATGTCCCTGAGCAATGCTCTGATGTATGAGGGCCAACTGGAGTGTGGCTCTGAGAGGACGGCAAATGCAGTGCTGCAGCTGCCCAGTAGAGCTCAAGTCGAGAAGGAGCTGGACCTGTATGTGTGTCAGCCACAGTACAGTGCTTGGGTCCAGGCTGCGCTGGAGCCCAATAGTCCTGTCTGTTTCCTGGACACCTCTGAGGTCTGTCTGACTTCCTTTTTTCTTAGACTTTATCTCATTTTGTCTGTTATAGAATTTGCTTCATTTGCTTTTGAAGCGTTTTTCAGCAATATGTACTGTACCTTTCTTCAGGTTCCCGCCCCTGAGACGGTGGAAAAAAGTGGCATCAGTAACCACACGGAAGCTATATTGGTACAAGCCCTTGTCACTTTGCTGCTCAAGGTCCGAACATGCCATTTGTTTTGAAACGCATTGAAATCTTGTTTTTTTTTTTTCCTGTACTACTTGAAATTACATTTGAATTTTAAACGTGTTGTAGGCTGGATGTAGAGCATCTGATATTGGGGTCATTGCTCCATATCGACAACAGCTAAAAGCCATCTCCAGTCTGCTGCAGGGAGACGCCTTTAAAGCTCTGGAGGTCAACACTGTGGACAAATACCAAGGACGTGACAAGAGCATCATCATTGTGTCCTTTGTTCGAAGCAACCCTGAGGACAACGTAAGTGGCCTTCCTCCTGAATTTAAACAAACGAAATATTTAACATTTAAGCCAATTAACTGTTCATTGCATGTGTTATGTGATTGATTATTTAATTATTCTGTGGTGTCGAATCATTTTTCAGCTGGGAGAGTTGCTTCAAGACTGGCGTAGGCTGAATGTGGCCATCACTAGAGCCAAACACAAGCTCCTAATGCTTGGCTCGGCGCCCACCCTTCGCCGGTATGCACCACTAGAGAAACTTCTCTGCCACCTTCAACAGGAAGATATGATATCCTTTACAAGTGTTTACGAATGAGAATCTAATTGCAGGTTCATGCAGTGACTTTTTGTCACTTTGTCATTGAAATTAATAAATAGTCATTAACTTTTTTTTTTTTGGTGAAACTGAATTTTTGAAATTCTCCTTAATTTAAGTCACATCTTCCAGCTGCCTGCTGCTGCCCATGAGGCACTACCTGGGGTCCACTTGTGATGAAAACAAAAACCTCTTCTGATTCATAGTGTACGTCACAAAGATAATGCTGTGAAACAGTTACTTGAAAAAAATGTAAGTGAAATGGAATACATAAGCTTCAGACTAACTGTAGACATCTTTTTTGCTTTAATGATGGACGTGAAGTTTAATAATAAATCAGTGCTGACAGGCCCTAGTACATAATTTACACTCGAGTTTTTTTACTCAATTCTCACTACCTCATGTTGCATATTTTTAAAATTCATTACAGTTTTATCCATGCAAGTGTTGTGTATGTGCGTTTTATATATATATATGAATTTTAAGAATTTAATGTTTTTGTTTAATAAAAAATTGCAGCAAATATTACATTCTGTCTTTTTTTCCCCCCACTGAAGACCGTTGACCACTTAAGAGACATAAAGTTTGCAGGTCTGTGAATTTGCACTTTATTAAATGGCACATAACTTATAATGCCCCTACACATTAATGCAAAGAGCCATTAAATGCACTTGATTTCCATCAAAACCACAAGTTGTTTTAGTCACAGATTAATGTAATAACAAGTGTTTCTTACTTTTCAGGTAAAAGAGCACTGTTGCATGTCCACATAGTGGAATCTCACTTGTGGGAGTAAACCAGCGTAATCCAAACCTTGAAGATAACATAGAAGACTGTCTTATGTAGTGTAATACTTACATTCTCAATAAGACATACTGCAGCAGGATTACCTTTGAAAGGCACATTGGTAAAAGCATCAACAGTAGATACTGGAATTTCCATTGATTATAGTTCTATTATAGTTTTTTTTTTTTCTTTTCTTTTTTTCTTCCTTGCACCTTTTACGTATTTTTAGAGCGGTATTTGAAATGAAGTTAGACTTTGACCCTAATGATATAAAAAGCTCAGATTAAAGGTACAGACTCAAGATTTCAAAATGTCTTTTTAAACAGACTTTTTACTGTTATGCAATCTGTAAAAGAGAGTGGAAGAGATAATAATGCTAATCTATCATTTACATTTTTTTATATATATATTCTACACTAAACCACTTGCTGTATTGTTCTTTGTTGATGGCATTTGCATTTCACCTATTGGTATTTTCTTGTAAATACCTTTTATTGTCTTTGAAAATGTGTAGACTTTATTATACAATCTAAATAAAAAGGCAGCTGGTAGTCATCCATCAGAGCAGCTGCTGGGATTCCCCTGCAGGATGATCAATGCCTGATGAGTGATGTTCAGTCAACCATCATCTCTGATCTCTCGCTTCAGTTTCTCCCTATGACTGTAACCCTGGTTTGCTGCATCCTGGATCAGTATCAGAAGATCTAGCCTTACTCTGCCCAACACAATTTTATTAATATTCTGCAATAAAATGTATAAAACATCCATTCAGATTTACAAACTTTTAAAAACCAAATAATTTGTATTCTATTTTGCCCATTCAGTGAATGAAACATCAGAAAATTGACTTATTTCCATTAAACTATTAACACATTCAGTGAAAAGGTTTTATAGGTTATCTAGATTTTAAGAGTTCCCTGAAGAACGATCTGTGCCTGACCACTGATGTTGAGTCGACCATCATCCCTAACCTCCAGCCCCAGCTCTCCCCCACGACTGGAACACTGGTAGGCTGAAAAAACAAATAGGACAGAATAGAACCTTATTGTGCATTTTATTTAAGCTTTTTGAGAAAACGGTTTAATTCAGTCATTCATGTGAACTAATGTCATTATGAATTTCCTTTGATTCACCAGTGCAGGGAAAAAAAAGGCCTTTACCCAACATTTTCTTTTTGTTCAGCTTTTCAGACCAGTAGGCAGCAAGAACTGTATGCGCAGACCCTTTGAGAAATAATTATTAGTCTTTTAAAAGCACAAAACAAATTCATATGAAAATTATGATGACTATAATTGTGCATTTCCATTTATAACCTATTAGAATTCATGGCTTTACATTAAAACATGGAACCTTCTACAGATTTCTCCTCCTTTATTGTAGGTTGCTGCATTTTGAGAATGATGTGATCATTTCAGCTCACCACAGACTGGATCTTCAAGGATCCCAACCCAAGGAGCAAAGTAACGGGAATAGAAGTCATATCCAGGTTGTGCGGTTGGAGCTCCCTTCATTGTAACGATGACACCTTTAATCTTCCCAGTGGATTCATTTTTCAGCAGAGTTTCTGCTTCAGGCTTCAAAGATGTTAGTTCAGATCTACCAAAAACAAACATTCAACAACCTTGCTTAATGATCTAGATACAAAAATAAACTGCCATTTTAGACAGAATTACCAGCATACTATTAATTCTTGTCTTGACTGCTGCTTTAAAAATGTACTTGACATAAACTTGCAATAAATTAATTAACATTTTCTTCCTTGTTATATTCAGCCTCTGTATGTCCAGCAGTACCTGTCGCATGTGTCAGCCAGACGAATCATCAGTTTCCTTGTGGTTGGACTGTAGCACACTTCCTGAATGGGTACATCTCCTACTACGGCCTGAAAATGCACATAAAAGCTTGTTTTTCCCTTTGTCATATTAAAAACCTAAATTACTCACTGGCTAACTTACTTTCAAAAGATCCCTGATTTCATGTTGATCCTGCAAATAAAATGGACAAAACTCAATAGATCCAGACCAAGAAACATTACTGTATTAATCATGAGAGACTATATGAAGGAAGGGTCAACAAGGTGTGCTTTGGTCATACCTGGGGGTTTGGTTTGTTTAAGGGAAAGTCCATTATTAGAGATTCTTCATGCTGGCGCACATAAAGATCCCCACTCATAGTCTCAAACACCAGTACAGGGTTGACATTTTCTGTGTGATGATATTGTGGTTTTAGAATAGTCACAGTCCATTGTCTTTGGTAAAATATTAATTTAAGAACAAGTGTTTCTTACTTTTCAGGTAAAAGAGCACTGCTGCTGAGGCCAGTGTTGCATGTCCACATAGTGGAATCTCATTTGTGGGAGTAAACCAGCGTAATCCAAACCTTGAACCTTTCAAAATATATCAAAACCAAAAGCAGACATGTAAATCAGAGTTGTTTGAGTATTTCAACATGCATCTCAGCAGCAGAATACCTGAGGAGAAATCCATAGAATTCCGTCTTGTGATGAAAGCAGTCTCTGATAAATTCATCTCAGCAGCAATGCTCTGATAAAGATCATCTCTCAGCTCCTGGATGTATTACAGAGAAACATTTCACATTCTGATCTTCATAGTTGCTAACATGTTTAAACAATCAGAAACTAAAAAACATAAAACTGTCTTGTGCAGTGTAATACTTACATTCTCTAGAAGACATATTGCAGCAGGATTACCTTTGAAAGGTAAATTAGTAAAAGCATCAACAGTAAATATTGGAATCTCCATTGCTTCTGCTCTGGAGTTAAACAGCTGTAACAAGTTTAGCGTGATGTTTTAGCAAGTCATAGTCCAGTGCTGTGAGGCTTGCTGAGACTTTGACCCCAGTAGTGTAACACCCCATTTTAAAGTTACAAGCAACACGATTTCAGAATAGTTTGCTGTACTCATATCATTGAGTGTTAAAGCTCATTAAGAAAACAGTTGAAATTAAGATAGGGATAGGAATCAGGGTCCCATTTAGTATTAGGTGTCTTTAATTACTTTTTTCACTAATTATTACTGGATGTCTCCATGTTGTATTGCAAAACACTTTTACGACTACTGAGGTGGAAGACTGGCAGTTTAAAGAGTGAGTTGAGGGGAAGGGATGTAGGGTTAGCAGTGTAATTATAAATGTAATTACACAAATTAATTTCATGTAGTTATGCCGGTGGTTTTTTAAATATTAATACCAAGTAAAATGTATGTACACAATAAGTGCATTGTATCAAGTGATTCATTAAAACTTTAGTAGGCTACATAGTTAAGACACTTGATGATCTGGAATCAGTAGCCATACTAATATTTGCATAGTTGAATTTTTCACTGTCAACACAGGCAATGTTAAATTTAATTTTCTTTGCATGTTGATGAATCATTCATAACTATTATTTAGGGGGAGGGGGGGTCAAAGTGATAGTTCTAATTAGCTTCATGGCTTTCAGTCCTTCCACAGCTGCATTTGTTTGTACAGAGAGCTGCAGGCAGTCTCTCGCGGTAGTACACATGGCACCATATGTGCCACATTGCAGTATTATACAGGATTAAGTATAAACCTAGTGACTACGCTCGATGACTCGTCCGTGATGCATGCGCAACATGCGCTTGGAGCCTCGGCTCACACGTCAGACCGACCGTTCGGTGGAGATTTGGTTCGGTGCGCCTGCAGCGAGGTCAACGTCCTCTGACAGGCCGCGTTCTCGCGAGAGTTCGACTATCAGGACTACTGGACTATCGTTCAGGGTTACCTGAGAGGACGGGCGCTTGACGGTAAGAAGGTATTCGCTATTCATGGGCATATTTCTTCATATTTAACTTTTCATGTATAAGTTGAACATTTACATTCAATGGTGAATATATTTTGTGTACTTTGGATCGCGGAAGTGCTGGTTTTTGTTCCAGAATATGTGAACTTGTCGGTCGTTGATTCCTGTCAGAAGAATATCTCGCAAATGTTACAGTCGTTGCGCTTAAAGTTCATCAGTTTCGGTTGCGGTTTGTTTGACACATGACCGAACTGTTTTCCGAATGCTATATATAACATGTACCATGTTAGCTTGGTCTTAAGTTTAAAACACTACTGTATTTTGACCTATCGGATAGTGGCTGTCTAGCTAGCTAACTAACTTGAATTGACGTTATGTAAGGCGCCAACTGATTTATACTAGTCAGTATTCCTAACTACAACAAAACATGTTGCGTTTGTGTGAAATGTCATTATTGTTTGTCTTTTTATCTCTTGAAGGAAGCCTCTGACTATTGACAACATGGCTCTCTCTCAAAATATATCGAGTTGCCTAACGTTACCTAGACAGCATTTTTGGGCGTCATACGTGCGTTCTTACGTTTCGAGCTCTCCTGAAATGCCCAAAAATGCTCTCGAAGTAGACAACCTCCTAGGTTTGTTGCACTAGCAAGGTTAAAACAGAAAAAAAGACTAACACAAACTATTTTGATTGAGTTTAGGTAGGCAGCTCACTAGGTTTAGAGGCACATGTGTTACAATCATTTGTTTTTCAGATCCAGTCCTGACAAGGTAAACATGTCTCATAATGATGAAGGATATGTGGTACGGATCCGTGGTTTACCTTGGTCATGCACACAAGAGGAAGTGGCCTCCTTTTTCTCTGGTATGCAAAATCTCAAACTGAAAGCATCTTTTGTAGTGCTCTATGTGAGTTTACAGAAAAAGAGCTGCAGTTGTGTCCTTTTTTCATTTCCAGATTGTGACATTGTAGGGAAAGTGAATGGCGTGTGTTTTACCTTCTCCAAAGAGGGAAGGCCGAGTGGAGAGGCGTTTGTAGAGCTGAAGACATCAGAGGACTTTAAAAAGGCTTTGGCAAAAGATCGTAAATACATGGGTCATCGTTACATCGAAGGTACTGGACATTCCTGTCCACAATGTAGAAAAGACTAGTATGAGTTTTTGTCTTCTGTTGAACACAAAAGATAATATTTTGAAAAATGTTGACTTCCATAGGTATTTTTCTTTTCTATACTGGGTGAACCATCACTTTACCATGAATGATTGGACAATTATAGTTTTTAATGGAATATTGCGTTTAGGCATGGGCCGGTATGAGATTTTGACGGTAAGATAACCTTAAGCAAAAATATCACGGTTTCACGTCGTTACAGCTCTAAAATGTGTTATATTTAAATGACTGGGTAAAAAAAATATATATTTTTTTTCCGCTGAACACAATATATTTTGTTTTTGAGCAACATACAGAATATTAGGAACAGTAGAATTTGTTTATTTTTTCTTTGATTTGTTTCCTAAAAAGAAGAAAAGTAAAGACTGACATCTTTATTTAACCTAAATCTGTAATTACAGTTATTTAATTTTAGTTATATAATTCATATACATATCAATTCATATCATTTAGTTATATAATTTCATATACATAATTTGATTTAATAATAACCCAATTTGAAGAAAATACAGAATGTTCTGACTAGCTTTGTGAAATTATACTACATGCCTGAACGAAGCAAACAGCAGAAGCTCTGAATGAGACGCAGATTCACTCTCAGACAGCAGGAGGCGCTTCTGGAACACCAGATACTGCGTTCCTTGGTTACCGCTGTAAACAAAGCAGCTCTGCGCTGAAACACTGCTTTACTATGAACTATACAGAGACGAGTTGCTTTTCTGAAGACAGTCAGTTCCCCTCAGATACACATTCATATAAACCCCCAAATCAATATTGAGGATTTTCTTCCAATAGTTCGTGCATCATGAACAGTCATTGATCTGCCTGCTACAGTATTTTTCTCTGTGCGTCCGTCTTCAACGTCTCTGGCCTGTGTTAACGGGTGTTTACAGCCTTCATATTTTCACATAAATTACATTTTGGAAAACAATTGCATTGCAACGCAGTTTGTGCAAGTCCAGAACAGAGACGAGTTGCTTGCAATAAGACAAAAAACGGCCGGTTGCGTAAGTTCCAGGGGCAGAAGTTCGGCCATCCTACACACGTGACTGACCGCTCGCTCGCACCAACAGGAGGAGGAAGGTCGTGTTACTCTCTCTACACTGCACTCAACCTGAGGGATTCCTACACTTTCAGTCTTTGAGGAGACATGAAAAACAGCGCATACCGCAGGAA